AGCCTCGGTGAGTTGCTGCAGTGTATCTTGTAGATGGTACACATTGCTGCGACTGAGCGTCGGTGGGTGGAGGGAGTGGGATGTTTGTGGATGTGGTGCCAATCAAAGTGGGGGCTGCTTTGTCCTGGATGGTGTTGAGCTTCTTGAGTGTTGTTGGGGCTGCCCTCATCCAGGGGCAAGTGGGGAGTATTCCCTCACACTCCTGGCTTGTGCCTTGTCAATGGTGGGACAGGCTTTGGGGGAGTCAGGAGGGGAGTTACTCGCTGCAGGATTCCCAGCCTCTGACCTGCTCCTGTACAGGCAGTACTTATATGGCGAGTTCAGTTCAGTTTCTGGTCAATGATAAAAACCATAGAATAGATTCATTGAATCCCCACTGTGTGGAAGCAGGCCATTCAGCCTATCAAGTCCACACTGACCCTCCAAACAGCATCCCAACCCAGACACAACCCCATCTCCTATCCCTGTATTTCTGTGGTCAACCCACCCAGCACGCTCATCGCGGGAGACCATGAGCCATATAGCATGGTCAATCCCACCTCTTTGGAATGTGGGAGGAAACCCGTGCAGACACAGGGGAGAATGTACAAACTCCACACAGACAGTCACCCGAGGGTGGAATGGAACCCAGGTCCCTGGCGCTGTGAGGCAACAGTGCTAACCCCTGAGCCACTGGGCCATCCAAGTCACAAGTAATATTCACACCAAACACATCCCAGGCAATGTCTATCTCTAATAATGTAACCATTGCCTCTTGACATTCAATGGTGTTTACCATCACTGAATTCTCCCACTATCAGCATCCTGCGGGCTACCATAGTTTTGTAACTTCACCAGGTTTTTACCTCATCTTCAGGTATGCTTGGTGCTGCTCCTGGCATGCACTCCTGCACTCTCCATTGAACCAGGGTTGATCCCCTGGGTTGATGGTAATGATTGAGTGGGGGATATGCCAGGCCATGAGGTTACAGATTGTGCTGAAGTACAATTCTGCTGCTGTTGATGGCCAGTCTCGAGTTGCTAGATTGTGCGAAGTCTGTCCCATTTAGCACGGTGATAGTGCCACACAACACGATGGAGGTTTTCCTCAATGTGAAGGCGGGACTTCATCTCCACAAGGACTGTGCGATGGTCACTCTTACCGATGCTGTCATGGACAGATGTACCTGCAGCTGGCAGATTAGTAAGGATGAGGTCAAATATGCTTTTCCCTCTTGTTGGTTCCCTCACCACCTGCCACAGACCCAGTCTAGCAGCTATGTCCTGTAGGACCTAACCAGCTCGATCAGTAGTACTGCTTCTCAGCCACTCTTGGCGATGGACATTGAAATCCCCCACCCAGAGTACATTTTGTGCCCTTGCCATCCTCAGTGCTTCCTCTAAGTGTTGTTTAACATTGAGGAGTACTGATTTATCAACTAAGGGAGGATCATACGTGGTAATTAGTAGCGTTCCTTGCCCCTGTTTAACTTGAACCTATGAGACTTTGTGATGTTGAGGACTCCCAGGTAAGTCCGTCCCACTGTATGCCACTAATCTGCCACCTCTGTTAGGTCTGTGCTGCCAGTGGGACAGGACATATCCGGAGATGGTAATGGTGGTGTCAGAGTCACTGCTTTAGAAATATTTTCTAGTCGTCACTATATTAAATATTTTAATGTCCTTTTGATCTGAATACTCCATTCACCACAGCCTCCTCAGAGATTGATTAAGGGTTCACCGACAAGATTTGGTTTGTTTCATTCCTGCACACCCCCACCCCAACTAACAACATTCTGGGGATGGTTATCATTGACCAGAAACTCAACTGGACTCTCCTCCATATAAAGACATTGGCTACAAGAGCAGGTCAGGAGCTGGGAATCCTGCAGCAAGTAACTCACCTCCTGACTCCCCAAAACCTGTCCCACCATCGACAAGGCACAAGTCAGGAGTGGGATGGAATACTCCCCACTTGCCCCTGGATGGGGGCAGCCCCAACAACACTCAAGAAGCTCGACACCATCCAGGACAAAGCAACCCCCGCTCAATTGGCACCACATCCATAAACATCCTACTCCCTCCACCACTGACGCTCAGTCACAGCAGTGTGTACCATCTACAAGATGCACGGCGGAAATTTTCCAAATGTCCTTAAACAGCATCTTCCAAACCCACGACCACTTCCATCTGGAAGGACAAGGGGCAGCAGATACTTGGGAACGCCACCTCCTGCAAGTTCCCCTCTGAGCCACTCCCCATCCTGACTTGGAAATAAATTGCTGTTCCTTGTGTCACTGGGTCAAAATCCTGGAATTCCCTCCCTAAGGGCATTGAGGGTGTCCCAACACCTTATGGACTGCAACAGTTTAAGAAGGGGGCTCACAACAACCAAGGGGCAATTAGGGATGGCCAATAACTTCCAGTGAAGCCCATGTCCCATGAACCAACATTTAGTTAAGTAGGTAAGCCTAAAGGAGTTTTCTGAAGAAAGGTCCCGACCTGAAACGTCAACTTTCCTGCTCCTCTGACGCTGCCTGGCCTGCTGTGTTCCTCCAGCTCCACACTGTGTTGAGCCTAAATGATTGGCCTAGTTTCATTCAGTTGACCCAGGGGTGGCACAGTGGCTCAGCGGTTAGCACTACTGCCTCACAGCATCAGGGACCTGGGTTCAATTCCACCCTCGGGTGACTGTCTGTGTGGAGTTTGCACATTCTCCCCGTGTCTGCGTGGGGTTTCCTCCCATAGTCCAAAGATGTGCAGGTTAGGGTGGATCGGCTGTGCTAAATTGGCCAGGGATACGTAGGTTATAAGGTAGCAGGGTGGGCCTGAGTAGCATGCACCTTCAGAGGGCCAGTATGGGCTGCTTCTACATGGTATAGATTATATAACTGGCCTATCCAGCTGTCCCACTGCCACTCTTGGTTAAATATTTGTAGGACTTAAAACCACGGAGAAGAAACACAATCCTTGTTGCTCATATACATCTGTCTTCAACAGCACATGGTCACAGCAAGTCAAACACCTCCAAATATTCATGATTTATTTTAACCATGGTTTAAGCAACAGACTCTGTGTGTTCAAATTGAGGCAATGATGACCATCCACTGGTGACAGTAAACGTCAATCAGGATTAACTCACAGCCAGAGTGCGTTTCAGCAAGATCCCAGTCAGAGTAAACGCTTACATTTGTCCGATTACTCAGGGGAATAAAAATAAACCTGATCAGACGCAGACTCCCGAAAGGAAAAACAAAAAGGCGTTGGTCAAACCCGGTAACGGTGCGTTTGAGAGTCGATAAGGATGTGGTGCTTAGAGAAAGCTGCACACAGGAGTTGGCAGGGACGGGATGGCGGGGGGAGCAGGGCAATATATCCACACGGACGGGTCGAGGAAGAGGAAGGAACGCCTCGGAACCCAGGGGCGGTTTTCCAGGATGGTGAGCTGCCAGCGTAACCACAAGGGACCAGTCAGGACATCACTTTACTTCAGTGGGGGTGGCACGGTGGCTCAGTGGTTAGCACTGCTGCCTCACAGCACCAGGGACTTGGGTTTGATTCCAGCTTCAGGTGACTGTCTGTGTGGAGTTTGCACATTCTCCCCGTATCTGCGTGAGTTTCCTCCGGGTGCTCTGGTTTCCTCCCACAGTCCGAAGATATGCAGGTTAGGTGGATTGGCCATGCTAAATTGCCCACAGTGTTCAGGGATGTGTAGATTAGGCAGGTTATAGGGAGATGGGTCTGGGTGGAATGCTCCAAGGGTTGGTGTGGACTTGTTGGGCCGAAGGGCCTGTTTCCACACCGTAGGGATTCTATGACAATGACATTCCTGCCTTTGCCCAATCCGTTGGGAGATGACTTGGACGGTTACGATAGCTCAACATTAGGACAGGAAAAGCATCGGCTGGCCAGGAGGATGCTAAGAGGAGAGGGGAGGACACGGGTTGGTTGGGGAGGGGGAAACTGTGGGGACAGGTGGGGTCCGTGAGCGGGCTACGATGCCGTGGAACCCTGTGTGACTTGGATCGCTCAGTTCAGGAGGGTAGAAAAGCGGATTATACCATAAATGGGAAATTGCGGGGTGGGCACTTGGCATCCGTGTACGCCACACCACGAGGTTAATATGCAAACACAGCAAGCAGATCGGGAACCCACGCTGTACGTTAGCCTTTCATCACGGCAGGATAATCGGTTCATAACACTAAAGAAGGACTCTCTGCTGTTATTGTATTGGGCCCCGTAGCCATCACGTTGTGCACAGTTTCAGTCTCCTCATTTAAGGAAGGATGAAACTGCCTTACAGAAGTGGACAGTGAAAATTCAACCGAGCGATCCCTGGGGCATAATGGGGACTGGACAGAGTCGGAGGCATGTGAGGAAAAGGGAGGCAATCAGGTGGAGATGCATAACATTTCAGTGAGGGGGTAAGACATCATTTCCCCAGCGTGAGGGGTGCGTGAAGGCCCCAGTTCCAGGACAAGGGGCTAATCGTTTTGGATTGAGAGGAGGGACGGAGGGTGGCCAATCTTCGGAATTCTCTCCCCGAGTGTCCCTCCCATTGAGTAAGGCTGGGACAGGTACCTCTTGAGGAACTGAGATGGGGGAGAGTGGAGCTAAAGCATGCTCACCAAAAGTTGGCATTGCATGGGCACAGCAGGAAGGGCGGGCCAAATGGCCAACTGGAACTTGCTCCATGTCATCATCTACCAGGGAATTAGAGCCCAGTTTGCCTTCAACGCCCGGGTGAGGGAGGGAGAAGAGGCATTCTGGTAACTGAGGTCTGCAACCCCGCGCCCCACCCCCCCCCCCCAACCTCATCCTTTCCAGCCTCCATCCCCTCTTTCTCTACTCTCCAACACCTCCCTAAGGGCTCAACGCTAGTGGTTCAGCAAAACTGGAACTCGGTGTGAGGCCTTTTCCGGTGGGGGCAGGGGGGTGGGGCGGGGGGGTTTGCGGTCTTGGGGAAAACCTTCCCTTGACCATGTCTCTGGCTGCTGCCCCTTGAGCGAAAGCAGCCACCATCTTGGAGTGTGAGAGCACATGGCTGGGGAGGGGCGCCAATGGCGGAGACAAACCTTTTTGTTTTTGGTTTTGTTTTGACAGTTTTGCCCCCTTTGTCTGTTCCTGTAGTGAGATATGAACCAGTTGAGGGGTAGGGAGGGGATTGGTTGTCGGTGGAGAAGGACATTTAGTTTTTGAGGGATGTGGTGTGGATCAGTTGTCAACCGTCGTTGGGAGGTGAAAGTTCATAATGGAGTGTCAGGCCCTGAGCCTGAACCTAGGCTTTCCTGTTGCCGGGGCTGGTGCCCCTGGCAACCGCTGCCCGCATGCACGATGAGGCGTGGGAAGTAGATGGCGTCCTGGTAAGATGGCGGCTCGTCCTCTCCCTCCTCCTCTTCCTCGTCGTCTGCCCTGACCCCTGACCCCGGCACCTCGACAAAACGCCCTCCGCTCAGGCTCCGGAAGAGACAGGCCCGCCCCGGGCCTTGGATCCGGCCTAGCGAGAGGCGGCTGCGGCTGAAGGGCAGGCGGGCGCATGGCTCACGGGCCGAGGGCAGCGAGGAGCTACTGATCGTCCGGCGGCAACGCTGGCACCTCTGGGGGTACGGGGCGGTGGAGGAGGGTGGCCGAGGCCTGCCGCCGGCGGAGGAGGCCTCCATCAGCATGGCCTCCGAGTAGCTGGGCACCAGCTGCTGGTTGGAGCGAATGTGCCACTCCAGCTCGGTCATGTCAATGGTGTTGACCCGGGTGACCCTTTGCCCGTACAGGCCGGCCTCCTCAGGGGTGATGACCAGCAGCCCCTCATCCAGGCCGAAGAGCTTCTCCACATGGTAGTGCACGCTGGCTGTGCGGTACTCCACCAGCACCCTGAGCGGCCATGACAGCACCAGGAAGGACAGCGTCCAGAAGACATAGCGGGAGACATACCAGGGCGGGTTCTTGGGGTCGGAGAAGGCCAACATGTGTTCCTTGAAGTCAACATTCTTCAGGTGCATGCCCTCGCGGGCCTCCATGTAGTCATCCAGGCCCTCGTTCTGGCTGAAGAAGTGGGCCCGCTGGGTCAGGTATGCTGTCTCAGACTCGGCACTGGCGAAGCTGAAGCACTTGGTGAAGCGGAGTTTGGTTGCCGGGTAGTCGCCCAGGCCCAGCAGCTCCTTGGACACGTCCCGGACCCCGTGCTGCGAGTAGTCAAACTCCGACTCGGCCAGGTGGGTGTTGACCCGCTCGTGGTAGACCTGTGTGGTGGTGTAGGCGTCACCGTTGCGGTAACGTGTGACTTGCCGGGTCCGACGGATGTAATGGTAGCTGATGGCCTTCCACCAGATGCAGGGGGTGGCCTGTTGGAGGCGCTGCACCCTCTCGTACACGCTGTTGACATCCACTTTGTGCTGCATCTCGCTTTTGCCATAGCAGTGCCAGCACTCCACCAGGTAGACCACATAGAGCATCATGAGGAAGGCCAGGGGAATGTAGACGTAGCCGCTGGAGCACGGGCTCTCGTGGTAGATCATCGACTCACGGCCATAGGGCTTGTTGAAGGCCAGCCTGGTCACCTTGGACAGGTGGCACCAGGTCACCACGCCAAAGCAGCCATACATCAGGAGGGTCAGGACCAGGCATTTCCAGTGAGACTCCCGGCACAGCGAGCTGCTCAGGGACTGCTTCAGTGGTCTCTGCTGCTTCGGGGGTACAGAGGGAGACAAAAAAAAAACAGAAAATAACTCAATTACTACTTTGCCCTTCTTGTGCTGCACTTATCCTGCACTGCTCCTAATGAACTCATGGGCATCGGGAGCCTGATGAGAACCGAGAAAATGCTGGGGACATTCAGAGATCAATTGCTGGTGCTGGGGTAAACCGCACATGCCTGAGGACAATGAGAGACCAATTGCTCCTGCTGAGGTTGATGCACATATTTGAGGACGTTAGAGGTCAATTGTTGCTATTGAGGTGTAATGCACATACTTCAGGGCAATTAGAGATCAATTGCTACTACTGAGGACAATTAGAGACCAATCGCTCCTACCGAGCCCAGAGTCTTACCATATCATAGGACTGCTTATAGTTATAAGTTAGAACACTGTCTGGGAGGCTGAGTACTAAGTGCAGATACATTGAGCCACCTCCCATTAGTAGATACACCACCAGTGGCACCCCCAATAAAACAGTCTGTAATGATGTTAAATTTTCTGAAGACACACACCATCACAGCTAACTATATCAGACTTTGGACACATAAAGGTTCAGCCCTTTCCAAACCAACACAGTTGGTGCTCATGGGGAAAGCCAAAAGGCCATCACAACTGGAATTAAAACCTTTTCAGACCCGGAGAGAGACCAGCATATGGCAGGGGGCGGCGTATTGTTACAGGGAGCAAGAGCGATGGTCCCGAGCAAAGGTCACTGGCTGAAACCCCACCAGGGGTCTCCAAAATGAAGATGTTGGTGAGAAGTTATGTCTGGTGGCCAGGATTGGATGCAGACATTGCCACATTGGTGGGGCAGTGCCCAGAGTGCCAATGAGGATGAAAATTACCACCAGCCGCTCCCCCCACATCCATGGGTATGGCCAGGTATACCCTGGACTCGGTTACACGTCGACAATGGAGGTTCTTCATGGGCTCAATGTTCTTAGTCCTTGTGGAGGCCCACTTAAAGTGGTTAGACATGCATAGGGCACATTCATCAAACACTGGGCGATGATAGAAAATCTATGCACATCTTTTGCAACACACAGAGTCTGGAAGTGTTGGTCACAGATGACGGGGAATTTGGTTATTTCTTAAAAGCCAAATGGGATTCAACATATAAGGACAGTTCCATATCACCCGTCATCCAATGGCCTGGCAGACAGAGCTGTCCAAATTTTGGAAGCTGGACTGAAGAAACAGCCTATAAGCTTCACTTGGTACAAAACCGTCATGGTTCTTGTTTAACTACAGGACCGACAAAAGAGTTGCATGTTCTCCCCATGTCTGTGGAAGTTTCCTCCTGCAGTCTGAAGATATTCAGGTTAGGGTGGATTGGCTATGCTAAATTGCCCATAGTATGCAGGCTGGGTGGGTTAGCCATGGGAAATGCAGGGTTATGGGGGAGGTGGGATGCTATTCAGAGTTGCCCAAGGTTGGAATTGAACCCAAGCTCCTGGTGCTGTGAAGCAGCAGTGTTAAACACTGAGCTGCTGGAAGTAAGTTGATCTTACTATTATTTAAAAATGCATTCATGGAAGCAGGTGGGCATAGCTGAATGAGTCTGCATTTATAGCCCTTTCCTAATTGTCCAGAGGGCAGTTAAGAGTCAACCACCACTGCTGTACAGACTGGAGCCACATGTGGGCCCAGACCAGGTAAGGATAGTAGATTTCCTGTCCTGAAGGACATTAATGAACCTGGTGAGTTTTCTATCAAACAATAATTGACTATGACCAGCAATATTGATTTTTAATTAAATTCAGCACTGCCCCAGAACACTTACTGGGTCTCTCTAGATAGTAGCCTGGCGATAATACCACTAGGCCCTCACCTCCCCTAAAATATTTCAAGATTCTGAGGGGGATTTGCCTGGGGCTGTTGGGTAGTATAGATGTAGACATATGAGAGTTTAAAAATAAGGGGGCCTGTATTTAAGGTGGAGATGAGGAAGAATTTTTTTCTCTTTAGAGATCATCAATCTTTGAAAATTATGAATCACAGCAAGCAGTGAAGGCTGGCTCATTGAATATGCTCAAGGCCGAGTTTGCCTTGTTTTAAAATCATTGCAGGGTTTGAGGGTTTTTGTCTGGGAAAGAGGAGTTCAGGAGACAACCTGATCAGATCCACAAGGAATTTCTGTGTAGCTCCAGGAATGATAGACCAAACGGTACTACTCCTCCATTTGTTTCTTAGGAACCTAAGTCCCAAGGGACTTTACCATCAATGAAACACATTCCAGAGAGCAGTCTGTGCCCAGACAGTTGGAGAAAGCGGCAGTCCATTCACGCACAGCAAGATCCCACAAAAAAAACGCAATAAAGCAGCCAGACCATCCTTTTCTTTCTTGAAAAGAAAAGACTTGCATTGGTCTGAGGAATAAATACTGCCCCTCCCTGTCACAAAACACTGGAAAGACCTGCGACTACCCCCTACTTCCTGAAGGAAATTCGGCATACCCATGAAGATTCTTACCAATTTTTGTAGATGCACTGTAGAAAGCATTCTATCCAGATGCATCATGGCTTGGTACAGCAACTGCTCTGCTCAGGACCATAAGAAACTACAGGGAGTTGTGAACACAGCCCAGACCATCACACAAACCAACCTTCCATCCACTGACTCCATCTACACTTCAGCAGGAAGGCTGCCAACATCATCAAAGGCCCCTTCCACCCCAGTTATAATCTCTTCCAACCTCTTGTCAGGCAGAAGATACAAAAGCTTAAACACATGTACCCACAGATTCAAGAACAGCTTCTTCCCCACTGTTATTAGACTTCTAAATGGACCTCTCAAATTTCAAATTTAATGTTTATCTCACTCTCTGTGCACCTTCTCTGCAGCAGTAACATTGTATTCCTCGCTCTGTTCTATTGCCCTAATGCACACTGTATGGTATGATGTGCCTGTACTGCATGCAAAACAAAACTTTTCACTGTACCTAGGTACATGTGACAATAATAAATCAAATCAAAAAAGGAGGGGGAGAGGAAATGGTGGAACAATCAACGACCATGGGACAGCTACAGTCTGGGCCTTACGAGAGCAAAGAACTATTATCATTGGACAAAGACAGAACGATCTGTGGGTTCAAGGGTCCGGGGATAGGGTTGTCATCAGAAAGGAGCACCTTGTGAAGGTGGAAAGAGATTGGATTCTGGCATTTGATAGCAAGAGGGACAGGATCATCAATGAGGCGACAGGATTGAGTGACAATGTCCCTCTCGGCTGGCGGTGGAAGATACCCTGGGCGCAGACAGCAGCAGGGCAGAGGGAGATCTCCTCAGTGCCCTGACCTATTGAGTACGAGACAGCCAGGCAAAATCACACTCCAACAGCCAGATTGCACAAATACTGGGAAAGGAACGGGCTCTGTTTTTTTGAGTGAGAGTGACTATGACTAAGCGTAGGAGAGTCTGACTCAGAGTGTGTGCGTCTGCGTGCACTTGTGAGACATTGTGACTCAGTAAGAATGCGTGCACAAGAGTGTGTGAGAGTTTGTTTTGTAAGTGTGTGTGTGCATGAATGGTGTATGAGTGTGCACATATTTGAAGTGTGTGTATGTGTTAGTGTGTGCAAGAAAATATGCACATACTAGTGTGTAAGTGTGCATGTGTGAGAGTGTGTGCATGCAAGAGTTTGCATGAGTGTACACGCACGTGATGTGTGCCGTGCATAAGAGTGTGTGCATGTGTGATTGCGTGTGCATTAGTGTGTGTACGTGTATGAGTGTGTGCATAAGAGTATGAGTGTTGTGTGTGCGCAATTGTGTAAGTGCATGCACTCATGAGTGTGAATATGTGTGAGAATGAATAAGGTTGTGCTTGTGTGAGAGAGCACATGCATGTACTAGAGTGCGCGCCTGAGTATATGCATGCAAGTGTGTAAGTGTGTGTGCATGTGCAATCATGTGTGACAATGTGCATGTGTGAGGGTGTGTGCACGTAAGTGTGCATAAACAAGTGCATAAGATTGTGTTTGAGTGAGAATGTGTGTATAAGAGTTTGCATGAGTGCGTGTGTGCGTACACGTGCATGAGAATGTGCAACAGCGTGTGCGAGAATGTGTGCAAGAGTTTGTGTGTCATTGTGTGAATTTGTATGCATGTGAGTGTGAGCATACGTGAGAGTGCGTGTGTATGTGCATGAGTATGATAGAATGAGTGTGAGCACTGATGTGAGTGCATGTGATTGTCTGCATGTGTAAGAGTGCATGTGTGAGAGTGTGCATGTGAGAGAATGAGTGTAAGAATACAAGTGAGAATGTACAAGTGTATGTGAGAAAGCATATGTGCAGGAGTGTGCCAGAGTGTGTGTGTGTGTGTGTGTGTGTGTTTGTGTGTAAGACTGCACATGTGAGAGACAGTGCACACAAGACAGTGGTTGGTAGTGCGAGACAGTACACGTGTGTGCATATCCGAGTATGTACGTGTGACAGAGTGCATGAGAGTGTGCCCATGTGCATGTTAGAGTATGCAAGAGTGTGAGTATGTGTCAAAAGCGTGTGTGCATAGGAGTGTGCGTATGCGTATAGAGTGTGCATGTTTGGCAGTGTGTCTGTGTGAGAGTGTTTATGCATTTGAGGGTGTGTGTGTGTATGTGTGCATGTGCGCAACAGTGTGCAAGATTGTGCATATGTGTAAAAGTGTGCTTGTGACAGCCTGTGCATGTATGAGAGTGTTTGTGTGTACATCTACGTGCATGAGACAGTGTGTTTATGAGACAGTGTGTGTATGAGACTGCATGTTTGAAAATGTGTATGAGAGTGCGAGATTGCACATGAGAGAGTGTGCGTGCACGAGAGTGTGCAAGTGTGCGCGCACCCGAGTACTCATGTTAGTGTGCATGCGAGAGTGTGCACATATGATAGCGGGCACATGTGAGGGTGTGTTTGTGTTGTGGGGGGCTGTGGCAGTGTGACTGTGTGGGGGAGAGTGTTACTGTAAAAGCGAGACTGTGTGCGCACATTTGTTTGTCTCTTTTCAC